GTTGCGATGTGATCCGAGATTATTGTTGAAACAGATTGTTGCAACAATGTTAACAGAGGTAATTATTGGAACACGTTGCAACAGTAGGAAGCTTTATAATTTGTCGGTGCCTACAAATCCGATATTTAACAATTATAATAAAAATAGATTTCAGCGTGTTTATTTTTAACTGACGGTACAATTTTTTTTAACTTGAAATAGGGATTAACGATTTAAATGTTTCAGGTACTTTAAAAATAGCATCGTGGTGCAGTCTGTGTCATTACGAATTAAAGTGTGACCTTTACATGAAGAGTCAATGACGAGAATAAAGCCACAGAATACAACGCTAAAACATTGTTACATCATAATTATGTTAGATGCTGCTCATGAGTAATGTCTGATACACACACGTTTCGTTAACCCTTCCTGTGTACTAAACGATATCAAAATTGTTCCGGGCTACATACCAACCGGGCCTTCGTACGAAGTGGACTTTTTTCCCCGTGTCGAATTGATTTCTATGGTACTACTGTTCCTCGTAGTGTATAGTATGGGCTCGTACAACACACACAGACCATAGTATAGTGATACTATAATTTACTTATTCCGGCTACAATTAGCAGCTGTCACTGACTGAGATATGGCTCAGCATCCGAGTAAATCAATACCACATGCAAATCAAAACTCGCTCCATGATTCACCTGTTCCGGTCACGAAGGCAAAAAAGTACGAACGCTTTCCGAGACGTCTAGCCACTAACCCGGCTGGAAAACTTCTGAATGTGTGATAGAACAGGTTAGAAATCTCGTCTGGTTTAAGAGAACCACTTAGGTTGCTGATTTATTCTACCCTGCAGAAAGAAATGAAATGAAAAAAGGAAGAAATAAATATGGAATGACTGGGAAAATAGAGATGAAGTAAAGAACACAAATAGAAAGAAAAGGGGGAAACAAGAAATAGGATCAAAAGAGATAAAGTATTTACGCACTATTTGCACAAAATATACGAAGGTGGGAAATTAAAATTGTCTGTCTGCTTTTCGTCCAAGTTTCTTACCTTCAAAACTGTGGAAAGGATATTGATTAAATTTGGTATTGAGGGTTTACGCTGAAAGTTGTCAGACGTATTTTGCTTGTTGCCTGTCCAGTATAATCAAAACAGTGTAGCGTGTGACCCGTAAACGTTGACGGGAATTGACCTTTCTTGTCTTAAACAGTAATTAATTCAATTTGTTGTATTTTTTTTTTCAAATCGCTTAAAGTACAGAATTAATAAAATTACTCTTGTAAACTAAATCAGATATGAAAACATCTCAGCGTCTCCATACTCCTGTCAAAAGTACACTCCGCCAGACCCTACCATATTCTCGTTTGCATATTTTTGCTGCCAGATTCGCCGCTGTCAGAACTTAATTTCATTTTTTTCAGTTTCATCCACTTCAGCGTAAGACTGTTATTATATTGTAAGCAGATAACACACGAATTCAAATCGAATTCTATTGATTTTGTCGGGAAAAATATATCAGTGCTATTAATATATTAGAAATAGGACGAAAACTTTTCTTGAAAGAGTGCTACATGCTAGTTTGTAATGTCTTTAACAATCTTTTCAGTTCATCCATCGGATTACAACGAAATCAGGAAGATAGTCATGGTAGCAGCAATACGGTCAGTTAACTTCGTTTCTTATTTTAAAAAAAACGTCATTAATAAAGGATCACAGCCACACTGCTTCCCTTCCAGTCGGACAAACAGAAGTTGATACTTTTCCTTGAAATACGAGGGTATTCAGTCAATGAGCATCTTGAAACAAATCTTTCTCTCATGATCCATTTTGTGTACCTGTAGAACCCAGACAAGGCACGACAGTCCCAGAGGAGAGCCATGTTTGTTTGTATTAAAAGATTATTATTATTGTTGTTGTTGTTGTTGTTTGGATACCATATTCCTTATTAACATATTTTAAAACGAAACTAGTTGAGTGATAATCAACTTCCCCAAAAGGACTCTGAGTCATATTTCTGCCGTACTGTCTAAACCTGTAAAGATTCCAAATACAGTCAAACCTCGGTTCACGAACTTAATTCGTTCCTGAAGGTCGTTCGTAAACCGAAATGTTCGTAAACCGAAACCAATTTCCCCATAGGAATTAATGTAAAATGGATTAATCCGTTCCTGGACCCCAGATGATTGCTTATTTAAAATTTTACAACAGTGCTTTGTGCACAAGTTCTTAACACAAAATCAATGGACACCATTAAATCTATCACAAAAAAGATAAACACAACACTAAGCAGATCAAATATAGACGAAAACTTAATTTAGTTTTACCGTACCTGTATGGAGGAGAGTTGACCACGAAACTTTGCACCTCACCCCATTTTGCACAAATTTCACGGATCAAAGAAGTAGCAAGATCAGAGACACGAACACAATTTTCATGTTTGGCTATGATTTCTTTCTTAACATCTATCATGATATTGGTATTTTTTTCTTTTCACTTTGCTGCTATCATTGTCTTTCTTTGGCCCCATGCTGGATCATTCTTCTACGAATACTGCCGACGCTGATACTCCCAGCTTATCGCTTGCGTGTTCGTAACTCGAGACACAGTACGTCATCCGAGACGCTTTGTGTTCGGAAAATTTGTTCGTAAACTGAATTGTTCGTGATCCGAGGCGTTCGTGAACCGAGGTTTGACTGTACTTTAATGTTCTTTTCAGATAGGCTGTAACCCATAATTTCGAACCGTCGCTATGTTTGTAATTCTTGACAGCATGAAAAATATTTCATACGCCACTTGCAGATGTGCTTAAGATATCTCTTCATGCAGCGTTTCACACGTTATGTAGTTTTTGCATTTCCGCCATGTTGTTTCACATTACACAAATATGTTGCCGGAATAGAAGTTACATGTTCTTCAAAGCGATGTTGCGACACAAGATTCACAAGTTCGCATGGCCGTCATGTTGCATGTCACGAAACAAAAGCATACAAAGACGGAGTGGCAAATCAGTTGCGTGATGTTTATGCGAGGTTTCATGAAAATCGGCCAATTTGTTCAAACTTATTAAAAAATGGACATACATTGTGAGGTGTGCCACTTGAGTTAATACACTCCTCTTCCATCTGTCCCACACAATCCCTTCATAAATATGTTATTATAATCTTATTTGTTACGTTATTTGGAAGTGCTTATTTATATCTCAGGAAATAAGATTTATTACGAGTTTAAAGAAGAGGAATTCGAACAATTTCTTAGCTGCTCAATAAGAAATAAATTTAAATTTTAATAAACACACTTGTTTAGAAACTTGATAAATAGGCCTACAATTTAATGACAATTGCCTGTAAGATAATTTTTTTTGTCTGTAAAGTTTACAATTAGTAGAGGATAGTAGTATGTAAGGCATGACATGGATTTGATAGTCTTATCCTAGGGCCATGGACACAAAATCCCTATATTTATTGATTCACGATTGGGCAGACAGGTCCAATTGACACCGTGTGTATATACTGCATCTAAATCAGACTACCTAACCAGCCAACCAAAGAACCAACAAACCACCAAACCTATCAGCAACAAGTTCTTGAGAAGCTTGCAGTCACTCAACCAGTTAAGAAATTTACCGTCTATTATGGAACACGGAGGTTCATTATCGTGTTCACATGAGCCAACGACTGAAACCTACCTTGAGCCTGATAAATCTACGCCTGAAGAACGAGAAAGTAGACCTATGTTTCTCCGTGACTGGTCTATCTGTAAGTCCACGCGGCATTTCAATCCAGATCACGTGAAGACGTCTTCACAGCCGCCAGAACCACAAACCTCACAGATAAATCCAGTCTACATCCCCAGACCCTATTTCTAGAACGCATGCAAATGTTGTGAGAAAGTAGGTATTAATTCGGTCTGTGTGTCAGATTGCAATTCCGATTAGAAGAGGCTTATTTTAGTGCATTTTTTACCTGGTTACAGAATTAACAGGTCATACAAATGGCATTGCAAAACAGTGATTTAACATTGCCAAAAAAGAAGTTCGTCTTTCCTGCTTCTACTACCAGAAACTGGCAGTTCTATATGAGATTTCTGCATTCCTTTACGCGTTAGACATCACCATTTAGTCATTACTTCCGCGCCAATGTCCCTTAGTTTCTGAGTGGTCAATAGATGGCTGTAGCTCATGGTCGAGAACTTTACTCGCCGTCTACACCCATAGTGCTAATGAAGAAGGATGTTCTGCGCGAAGAACAGAAGGAATACGCTGTATATGAAATGGAAAAACCACAACATTGGACAGTAGTATTATTGCAGGGGATACTAGTGATGAAAGCTGCAAGTTCATGAGAAACACATTTTGGCACGTGGCCGTCTTGTCTTTCAGTAACGCACATGATTTTAATTGCAGTTGTTCCAATTGCATACATTGTAACTCACTTTGTTAAACTCTGATTATTTACTCAATCTCGCCAGTCACTAAAACCGTGACGTCATACCTAGTTGTCACTGTTCCCACGCGCAGGGGAGGACGTGGATTTGTACGGAAAGGAATCTGTGCGTATTCATTTTTCATTGCCTTAAACAAAGTACTGTCTTCACCAACAAGGTGATAGATTAAGTATGAAGCCGAAATGTCCGTATACACAATAATAGACTGGACTGTAAGCGTTATTACATATAGATTTTGATATATGTAAGTTGATGAAACTTTTAAATTGTCACTTCCATTTCCCTCAAGAAAGGAATTTAAATGGCGCCTTTATTGCGATTGGTTGAAAGTATGCACAATCAGCCAATCATGGTGATTGTTTCCTCACATAGCGACGTGATGGTTTCAGCGTTCATTCACCCAATAGAAGGACATGATGCATTTATCCTTTAGGGATACTTTTCGTGAATTTAAATGTAAACTGTATTTTCATTGGCAGCACGCTTCCACTCGTGATGTCACAAGGTAAAAGAAGCCAATGGGAATCGAGGAAACAAGACAGTTTGGTTGCTGTTGAGACACATCAGACACATCAATCAACGCCAGTATTTTGCTAAAAGCCACGCCTCGCTTAGTCAATAAATTTTGAATATTGAGTAGTGTACGTGTAACATCTGTGCGTTAGAAGTATTTTTGTGCAGTTAAAATCAGATCACTACTGATTTCAAAGATAATAAACCTGGTGACGACCATTTCTCTTGCTGCAAGAATTGTCATAGCGGCTTGCACAGAGCTTTCTGCGCTCGCTTGCTACGCAGCGAGGGAATCACGGGACCCCGATCCACTGTCGTGCGCGACCACGCCAGTTTAGTGCAGTGTCTGCCATGTTTGAAGATTTCTATGCTGTGGGGCGTGCTTCTTCGTTAATGGCTCGTAGTATGGATCATTGAATGATATGTTCAACTAGATTGCGACATTGAAGATTGTCTGCATCGGGGATATCATGGTGTATGCATATCCCAGTTCTAACACCTTCATTGTGCTGGAAATGGTGTCATACATGGTGTGGGAAGCCTCGAATTTGCACCTACAATTTGTAGTAGCTCGAATGAAGTGAAGTGAATGTTTATTTTGATTAATTCTGTTAGTAAACATATTGTTAGTGAGGATGTTGTTAAACTCCAGAAGAACAAACGAATTTTAGAGAGTTATCGCGCAATATTTACTTGTCTGTGGCGGCAGTTCTGTTGATATTTTGCTTCCCGTGCTTTTGACCCGAGTGGGCGAGTCCATTGTAGCCGTCTCGGGGGTGTGTGGATAACAGATGGGGTGTTAAGGATCGAGGCCGAAGAAACCGTAATCGTTTTACCTTGGAATTCTCAGATTAAAGTGTTTGTTATTCTTCAAAGATTAATCAAGAACTGGAATTATACCTATATTAGGTAAACGCTGCATGTAACTAACCGTGTTTGAAAGTAACTTTTGTGCTATATGGGAGAATGATTTTTGCTGCGACTGCTGATTTCTGTGACAATTTGGTCGTTCAGACAAACTGAAGCCGTCCTTACATAGGATAAAGACCAGTGCCCATGAGGAAACGATTAAGTTCTTTATAATTGATTACGTACAATGATGATTGTGATGGAATGATTTACATAGGCCTACCCCAAGTCAAGTGAGTTAAGTGACTGCACCCATGTTGGGTTTGTTTACATTTTATATGGAGCTAGGAATAATAATGATAATGTGCAGTTTCATATTGCCTCAAGTAATTTTATGAATCTAACTTCAAGGTCGGTGAAATATTACCTTTCAAAGGTATATTTTATATTTTCTTGCATTTTGATGTGCAGACAGTGCTACATGGAAATAACTGAAATATAAGCCAATTTAGAAAGTTTTCCATAGAGGACTCACCAAGTAGTTTGGTAGTGGGTGACATTCCGATTATAAGGCCTTAGTGTCTGTAGCTCTGATTGTGAACTGAAAACGTGTTGACTGTAATTCTGGATCCAAACCTGCAGTTTGGTGGCAGCGTTCCTCATGGTTCGATGGTGCTCTTGAATGAGGAGGTATCGCCAGTGGCCACACGGGCAATGGACAGCTCGGTGGTGGTGCAAGCCAAACGTCCTGATGCTTGGCATAAGCACGAACAGTTGATGTTAATGGAGAAGCAGAAAGCAAAAGGTTAGTTTAATTGAGAGTCTTTTTCTATCAGTGGCCGATGTAAAGAATAGAATTTATTTACATTCCATAGATCATTCATAGGCACAAGCCAAAGATGTGGCATGTGTCATAGCTTAAATACAATACTTATTTCTACTTGTTACAAATGTAAATTACATAATTATGGCACTAATTTACACTCAGTTACATTATTACCAAAAAAATAATTACACAAGAAAGCATACCCACTTTTGCTTGCATGTATTTTAAATGGAATCATAAATAAACTAGTATGCCTTTTGTATATTTACACAGGATTGTGACAGCTGATTTATATTCAGATTATGTCACAGAGAAGATAATGATGGCAACATTTGTGCATGATTTTTATTGAAAATTATTTATATGTTATACATTTGGCTGTTACATTATTTATATTAATTACAATATGCATTGTATGTCATCAAGAGCTGTAGAACAAAACTTAACAGTGCTGAATATTTATTTCTGGTAGGAAGTTCAAAAGTAGGGATATGTTAATTTGTTCACATTTTAACATTTTATGTTGTACCTAACAAATACAAAACCTTTTTCTTGGATGGGAGTACAATTTTAACAGTTTGCTACAGGAAGAATGTTTCCATTGTCAGATATTGTTTCAATTATTGTTTTACCACATGGTACTGATTGTGTAGTAGGTTGTAGAACCCATCTGTACCTGATGAAAATTGTACCCCCTTGTCTGTGTTGTGTCAGCTGAAGCATTGTTTCTAGTGTTTCAATTCAAGCAGTCTTTCAGTGACACTTTTCTGCATGTTTAGACAATAACAGTTTAACCTTTTTGTTTATGCATAGCTCTCAGCTGTTATATCATAATTGAAAGCTTAGATGATTATTTTATTATCATGACTTAACAACATAAATATTTTATGTTACTGAGGAATGGAGGTAAGGCTGTATTTATACACTTTTGAACAATACTAAATTGATCCAACATGTAAAATACTAGCATATAAAGGAATCCTTAGCGAAATTATACTGTAACTGTAGGGTCAGTTGAGAGGAAGCAGTACAGATTCCAGATCTATTCTAATTTCTCATCATTTTTAGTTGTTACGCAGGAATGTGTGTCATTTCCCATTCTTTCATCCCTCCGTTTTGAATGGACCTTGTAGCTTTATATTGACAGTCTGTGTTGTGGAACTGCAAATGCATTTATACAGTTATTTATATTGTAAGACAGTTACTTTGTAATTATTTTGAAAGGGGTTTAATGTTTCACATTTTATGTAACATAATTTCTTATGTTTTGGTGTTACATTTGCCAGTACTGGTGCTTCATTACACAGATATATGAAGCAAGTTACTCTCATTGTCAGTACCTCTGTAGATGATTTATAAAATATGAAACTTCATACATGTGAGTGGGGTCATAATGGATAGGAGTCATAAGCAGTTGAATTGCACTTGGGTATCTTCATATTGCATTAACTTGGCCAATTAAATCAAGTATACACGAAATTCTTGCCAGAAAACTTGCAAGTAAAAGACCACTAGGAAGAGCTTGGTGAAGGTGGGAAAATAATATAAAAATGTATCGTATATAAGCAGATTGTGACATTGTGCACTGGATTCACGTAGCTTGGGATAGGTCCAGTAGCAAGCTGTTCTGAACATGGTAATGTACCCATAGTTTTCATAACAATTTATGATTGTCAGAATGACGTACTTTCTCGAGAATGATTCCGTTACTTGAATTTAGTTACTCTCTTATTACTGACTCATATTCTTTGCAGTTCATAATATGTTATTCTGCAAAGGTAAATTTGTACTATGATCCTATAGTGTTACTGAGTTATTATAATGACAGTTGGCATACAATACGTAGGACAAAACTGTGCATTTTGCCTGTCATTAGCTTGCCATAGAAATTTAAAAAAACTCTTGTGATATATGATCCAGACATTACCAACAAAGGAACTGGGAGAAGAAGCTATAAAGTCCTAATGGAAAATAATATTTTTAGTTTGAATAGTTTATATTTATCTGCTATCCCTCCTAGCCTGTCAATCCTCTTGCCTTTTACTTCAGTTAAATGCTTGAGTTTAAATAACAGCCTGGACTTGAACTGTAATAACACAGCATTTGTAGATAATTGTAGTATTTGCGCCTTCATGTGTGTGTATAATTCGTGCTTATGCTTGCAAAAGAGTAATCCCCAATGAATGTTAAGGTTGTTTACAGGCACTTAGTACATTCTTACATTTACAAACACTGTTTATCAACATTGTTTGTTAATGTGATTGATGCAGGTTGTCTTAAACGTATTTTTTCATTGGAATTTAAATTTAAAGTATGTAGTATGCAGCGGATTCCAGTTAATTGGGACACGGGACTAGAACATTTTGGTCCAATTAACTGATGGCCAAATTAACCGGAATCTACTGTACATATAAAAACTGTAGAGAAATTGCATCTTAGCAGTAGATTGATACTAGGACTAACGATCACAATTCTGAATCACTTCATCCACTATCTGTACTAATAACTTGTCCCTCTAAAATTCCTCAAAGTGAGATACCAGGTTCCAGAACTGTACAAAACAGATGGTTATTTATTATGTTGTTCATCAGCAGAAATCAGTCTTCCAGTCATTGAAAGGATGCACGACACAAGATCTAGTACCAAATCAAGAAATAAGACAGTAGGAGCATAAATACTCTGTCCAAGACAAAATGTACATCTTTTTACAACATTTAGATAGAATGAGATTGGAATGATTGCCGTAGCAGATATTAAATTACACTTCAGGAGGAAGAAGAGACATCCCGCACACAAGGCAGAGCTGGAGCCGAAGTTCGCAACGGGTTGTTCGACTTAATCCCTGGATGCAAATGATAAAGATGTTTATTTTTTGGGAAAGTGGATGGAAGAGTATCAGTTTTGTAACTAAATAATTGCAAGCGTTTATTGATTTCATCATGGTCCACATTTATAATTGTTAATGTTGTTCGCAGATTTAAAATAATTTTAAAATAGTTTCAATTATTGATCATAGTCACATTATTATTCCGTTGCTGATTTTTATTCAGTGTCTTGCACATATATGAGTGGAAAAGTCTTGTTAAAGGTTCATGGGAAAATTATTTTTCATTTCTTCTCTCCCCCCCCCACCCCAAGTTTTCCTTTACCCCTCTTCTGTATTAGCTTCTTTACAAGTACTTGTGATAGCTTCTCAATTGTAGCAGAATTTGTGAAATAGAACATTCCGCCGTCTAGAATCTTTACTGACAGCTTTGTCAGTTGTGCGTAACACACATCCATAACCGGTATCCTGAGTGAAATGACTTGTTATTTTTTTTGAATTTTTCTTATTGAACGTGGATTTATAAACACTGGATTATAATGAAGATGATTGTGCCTCCATCGCTCTGTAGATGGAGGTGGCAAGCACCTCTGAAATGTCAATAAACATCTGCCAGACTGCATGGTGTAACATTCCAGAAGATAGTCATCATCATACGTGGCTCCTTGAGAACCTGAAATTTCACAAACTTATGTTGTTTTGTGGAAGTGAAAATCTTGCGAACTCATAGGAGCACAGTATTTCAGTATCTGAGTTATTTTAATGATCTTATTTTTGAAGTGACATTTCATGGTAATTTTTTGATTTTTAGAGCTTAAAAATTGAAATCTCAAAATTGCCATTCTAAGAAATGTCATGTTTAGAAAATGAAATGGGCATTTAATGTCTGTCAGTTCTCAAAGAACAGTTTTCATTTTGGTTAATTTTCTCTTATTGTTTTGTTCCTTTTGTAAAATTTTGGTAGCAGTTGCGAGAATTGAGGAGGCCATGGACGGAATACGGACCGGGGAGCCATAGAAGGATGAGCTGAGAATGAATTTTTTTAGTGGTTTTATTGCTTTAAATTGTGATCGACGAGTGTCGTGGACGCCTGTTCACCAGCAGAAATAAATTGGTAACTCAAATGTGAGATTTAGTGTGAAGGGACAGAAGTGGGTGTTGGGTAAGAATTTCTAATGGTTCATGCGAAGCCATTTTAACCAAAGGCTGGCAGTGAGGCATGTCTTCACTCAATCTTATTTCACAATTGCTTACACAGGAATACAAGGAAAGCTTTGTTTTGTGATTTGCTTGAATGTGCTGGAAATGATGAAAAATTTTCTTCATAACTCATATCTGTTTCAAATCTGTCCCTCCAGGACGCCATTAAATATCCTTGTAGTGTGCGTATGTCGACCTGAAACTAATTACGTGAGTGGGAGTAGATAAAGTTTGCTGTTGACCTAAGAATACCCATAACATTATTAATTTTTTCTGCCCTTGATTCTCAGTTTATTAATGTTTGATGCGTTATCCGAAATTTTGTAGGTATATTACAGTATATCCTCAGTTTAAAGGATTTTGGATGTAATGGACACAACCTGGTATTGCCAAATTTTTTCTCTGGACACGAGGCATTGGTGGACGTTTTTGATTTTAATGGACTGTCAGTTTATATCTGGAACAGAAGTTATTAAAAACTCGTGCATTGAATTTGCTAATTGTGACTGTGGAAAGAAACACATTTGTAATTTTACAGCTAAAGTTTCTTGGTGAAAACAGCGAGTGGTCACATGGATTGTTATATGAGTCTGCAACACAGACCAGCAGTATAAGCTGTAAAGGCGATTTGTATGACGCATAATATTCGTGAAATTCATTACGTAACAATGACAACGACTTACAGGATCCAGTGAGCACAGATTTGAGACATTTTCAAGTGTTTTTGTCAACCCATCAGATTTGAGGTTTTCAAACTGAAAGACCAATGTTTAAATTGTTTGTAGCCACTGTATGACATGCCCTGTTTGTTTTCTCAGTTACAATTTATTTTGACATAGAAAATATACCATCTTTCTTATTCAGCTCTCTCTTCTTTAAGCATCTTCAAATTCCATATACTCGTAATGTTGTCTTACGGATAGTATTAAATGGCATTGCCTGTAAGGAAAATTAG